TATTATTATTATTATTATTATTATTATTATTATTATTATTATTATTATTATTATTATTATTATTATTATTATTATTGCAGTCGTTATTATATGAATAATTAATATAATCATTTGATGATTTACTGTTGTGACGATAATTGATAGACGGTAATGTTAAAGATGAGGATTTTGTGTGCGCTGTTGATGGGAAAAGCATCGAGGCACTTTTTTTATTGATATCTTGAGCACTTGAGTATGGTTTTAACGTGTGACGCTCTAATTCATCATTATTAATGGACGCGTCCTTTGTATGACCATCACCAAAATTTTGTTTTTGAGTATCTCCTGGTAGAATGGTTTTATATTCAGCTGAAGTCACGGCAGTCATATCTGATTCTTGTCGTTCATGTGTTGATGATATTACCGAGGAAGGTTGAGTTTTTAAATATATGGAGTTGTTGGCGGAGCTACTATCAATAGAACTTTGTAGATTCTTCATATTATCTGGTGAGTATTTGTAATAACTTTTTCTAGACATTTTTGAAAAATCATAAATAAGAAACTTTTCTTCCATCATTCGAACTTCCTTGGAAAGTTCACTAAGATCTTGATTAGGATTGGCACGTTTCCTTGCTTTCAACGGATTGTCCTCCAATAATAATTCTTCTAATTCATGTGTTGCGTCAAAATTTGCGCGTTTAGACTAAAACAAACCAAAATAATGAAATGGTGATATTATTAATATTATCAATATTAACATTACTATTATTAATATTGATATTAATATTCTTGCTCGACTTACATCAGGTATAAATGGAGGGGTTGCTTGTTTTGTAACAAGATTATCCCATTCTATATTACTAAACCAAGGATGCTGTTTAATTTCATCAATACCATTACATCCTAAACGCTTAGTTATATCTCTTTCACAAAACTAAAGATTTATATGTATATATATTAGTAACAAATAAATTTATAAATATTTTATTTTTTATAATAATTACAATAATAAACATACCCTTTTTAGAACATCTATACAATCTTCAGAAACCAATTCATTAACATTTTCAGGAAAATGGATAGGCTCGTTAAGAATTGCACGAGTTAAAGCTGTATTTGTTTTTCCACGAAATGGTCGCTAGCAATATTAATGTACGATTGATAGAATGATCGATTGATCAATTGATTAATTAACTGAACAATTTTAAAATAAATTTCAGTTTTCATTTAAATTGAAAAATTTAGTTGTTAAAAATACCTTGCTAAACAATAACTCATACATCACAACACCTAGTGACCACCAATCAACAGAATTAAGATATCCTTTCTTTTTTAATATTTCTGGAGCTTTAAATTTTTTTTGTAAGAAGTAATTAATTAATATTAATTTTATAATTTATAATAATTCCTAAATAATTAAAAAAAATCCCCATTAATTACCCATATATGCCATAGAACCAGCCACTGATGTAAGAGGTCTTTTTTCATTATAGTGAACTGCAATATTGAAATCAGTTAAATGCGCGTGACCATTTTCATCCAATAACACATTATCTGGTTTTAAATCTCTATATTATATATATATATATATATAATAATTAGAAATATTATTAAAAAAAGAAGGAATAATAATCAATTCAATTCCTTAGAATAATCAATTACCTATGAACAATTTTCTTTGAGTGCAAATAATCTAATCCTAAACTAATTTCAGCAACATAAAATTTCACCACTTCTTCTCCCAAATGCCCTTGTCTCTCCAGATGAAATCTTAAATCACCGCCCAACATCAAGTCAAGCACCATGAACATATTCTCGTCGTCTTGAAAAGCATAACGCAAATTACATATCAACGATAATTCGATCTCTTCCAACAGACGACGTTCTTGTATAATATTCTCTATTGCTCGCATTTTTATACATTTTTCTTTGTTGATGTATTTGAGCGCGTACAAAACCTTGGAACGTTTGTGTTGAACAACTCGGACCTTAATTAATTAGATGAAATGATAATGTTAACGTGATGGTTTATAACGTTTCAATATAAACGTTTTATTGTTTTTTTTTTTTATAGTGATCAATTTAATTAAATACCTTGCCGAATGCCCCTTTTCCAACTGATCTTAATAAATGAAAATGTGATAATTCGACTATAAATAAATAAAAAAAGATATTAATGTATATGAGTTTTAATGTTTATAAATATATATTTATATATTATTTCTTTTAGGCACACGAGAAAATAATTTACCCTCGGCATTAAAATCAATTTCTTCTTCCTTACAACAACCTGCACCCATCGGAATTTAGTTTGGTAAAAAAGGTAATATTATATAATTATATAAATATAGACAAATATAAATATAAATATATATATTTATAATTTTATATTAGAAAGAAGTAAAGGAATAGTCAAGTGCAGTGTTTAAGGGATGAGTGTAAGAAAAAAACTTATAATAATTCTGTATGTTAAAAATACATACATAAAGGGTTTTTCTTAAAAAAGGAAAAAGAAAGATAATGATGATATTAATACAGAAACAAACGGCCTGCCGAATTTTTTTTGGTTTTAAGTTTTATTCTATTAGTTGAAAAAGAGGGAGGAAGGAAACGAGAAATAAAAAAAAAAAAATATAATAAATAAAAATAAAAACAACAAATATGTATATATATTAAAAAATAAAATAACGAAAAAAAAAATCAATTCAAACAAGCTAAATATAGTAACACATACACAATATTTTACGATTATTATTTAAATACAATAACAATGAATAATATAACTATACAAAGGGACGTTTGTCTTCTCTTTGATCTGATGATTGAATTGATTATTTTGTATTTGTTTCCTAAATATTATTATCTGTTCTTCCTTTAAAGTAAATAAATAATTTTGATTTCTAAATTGGTAATTTAAAGTATATGTCTTTTTAAATACGGAACTCTAGTCGTCTATTATTGAAATTAGTGTAACGCGAATTAGTTTTCAATGAGCGAAAATCTTTGCATTTATTGCTATTTTAGTGTATTAATTGTATATTTATAGATGGTTATAAAAAATATTAAAACTAAACTTTACGAAACTTATTACTATTACCATTACTATTAGGAGATGTTATATAGAAGTTGATAATGTGAAATGATTTTTTGAAACTTTAAAATATTACTTCCAAAAACGTTCTATATATGTAAAGAGTTGCTACATTTAGGGTTTAGGGGTGACATTAACTTAAATTTGCTTTTCAACATTTCTAGGCCTCGTACAATACTAATATTAATATGTGTTAGTATAGTTGGACAAGGGCCCTTTTTTTTAAAATGATAATTTAATACATATAATGCCAAAATAGTAATAGTGATATTTATGTATTGCTTATTGCATTATTATCATCTTGTCATATAAACCTATGCGAAAACAGTACTTGTCCATGATTCCATTTTATCCGGGCATCCATAGACTTTTACCTAGTATGGTATTCCACGATTTTATTTGGTCTATTTGTTGAATTATCTTCAAGGCTAGTATGATGTTTAATCACATTGTGACTTCGAAAAAACACAACTAAAAATTTTAACATTGGTTCCAAAGACGGGAAGAGAGTCGTGCTCATTTTCCCCCCAGATATTATTATTATTTACAATGGTAAGATACGAAAATACCCAAATTGACATGTCAAACGTTAATTTAAGCCTGTTATGTAACAAAATAATAATAATAATAATAATAATCATTTTGCATTTTTGATTAAAGCTGTTTCACCTATGAGATGTAAGTAAATATTTATTTGTAAATTTCCTTGTGTCAAAATATTCAATGCCCACGCATATCATTGTAGATACAATCAAGAACAACATCGTCAATTACAAACAATCTATTCGTTACTCGACATCGTGGCATATTGGTACTCTTATATTGTGACCTTTCACGTTTTGCTAACCTTATTCATTGATATTGATAATAAAACAAAGACCTCAAAAATATAATAACAGTTGAAAAATTTTAATTCGAACTTGCTTTTCCCCTTCGCGATACTTAGCTTCTCGTGGATGAAGCCTATTTACACTTTGATCCTTCGGACAAAAAGTTAAGTACATATATCATTTTAAAATCAATTAAAAAAAATTGGAAATTACAGTCAAGTTTGTTTATCTTCGCTTTGATCAACAAAGCTCATTATTTAAATAATTGCATGATTAAAAAGGATACTGTGCAATCATTGTATATCTTTACACAAAGAGCAAAAGAACCTATCATCCATCACCATCCTATCTAATCAATTAATTAATAAAGAAAAAAATAATAAATCAATTTACCCATAAAAACCTTATTATACTTCTATTGTTCATGCTAATAATTTTTAAATAATAATATTATTATTATTTTCCTTAATTTAAAATTTACAAAATATTAAATATTAATCCGAATGATAATAAATTAGCTTGTTCATATAAAATAAATCTCCAACAGATCTTGTACTAAAGATTTAAGCCCAATTTATATTAATATGTCATCACTATATACAATTACTATTAACCATTACTATCATAACTCGGTGTATAATATATGTGACAAACTGTCGTGTTGCTACAAAAAAAAAAAAGCTTTATTTTATTTCCTTTTGCCCTTTCGTCTTGAAAGGCCTTTATTTCCTTCCTTTATGAGAAGGAATATGGAATTTTGTTCATTAAACAGGTTGGATATTTATTAATAATCCATGTTGTTATGATGTATATATTTGTTGGGGTGTGCAACATTCTAAGAAAGTCAAATATTAATAATGTCTTGTATTGATTGGTTGTATGTGATTTGCATACTACAGAATTTCCGAAATTACATGAATGTTTTTTTTATTTTCAAACCACTACTTCTTTTCCGTTTTCAAAGATTATAGATGACCAAATTTTCATGAAAGATACAAACTTTTTCTTTATTGTGTGATACTTCTTCTATCTATTGGAACTTCCGAAAAAATTATATGAAATAAACATTGCACTGTTCTACAAATACTAAAAACTAGATTTTCACGAATGGAAGATTCTAATAAAACCGTTCCATACAAGTTTTTCGTTACACCATAAAACATCCGCATATTATTATTATTATTATTTATTAATATTAATTATTAATATTAATACTAATTAGATTTACCCCGATATTTTATATGCATTTTCTGCAGCTGTTGATATATAAGTATTAAATTCTATGCATTCAATCTTGGTATTTCACATATAAGAAAAGAAAAATCCTAGGAAAGTAATCTTGTGTATGATCGTGTAATTACTAAAAAATTTCTAATAAAACTTTTGTGAATCTCAGATGGGAAGACTTACGTTTGTATCAATTGGAAAAGCCGATAGTTTTTTTTTTCAATTAGTAAAAAATTAATGGCAGAGGCTTTTTCTCGTATCTTGGAATGTTTCTTACTACTAATTCATCACTTCTCCTACTGGTATACAACAATGATGTTATATTATTACTGTCACATAACCTAAGCCAATCACCGTAAGTAAATAAACCTTAAATCAAAGTTATATTATCAATGATCAATTTTGGTTAAATGCAACAATTAGAGTGACAATTTTGTTATTAATATTTTAGTACATTATTTTCGAAAATGTAAAATTATTATATTATTAGCTTAAAATGTTCAATTTTGACCAAATTTTGACGTTTTATACTGTACATATTTTTATTGATGCGAAACTTAAAAAATCCGAGACAAATGATTTTTACATGATAATTATCGATTAAGACAAGAAATCATTGCACTTTGCCTTATTCTATTTAGTTCACCACTTCCTCCAACACCAGCACACCAACAATTATTTCATCAAAATATATCATCACCTGTAATACCAAATCCACTATCCATTGGTGGCAGATCTCAAAGACTAATATCACCATCATTGCCTATTGTCAATAACGACAACAATAATAAAATCCAATATAGAGATACAAATGATGTTAGTGATTTTAGTAAAAAGTCAGGAGCATTCAACACAGTAGGTGTATCAAATATAAATGTATTATAAATTATTATTATTTTTTTTCTTTTTTAAAAATAAAATTTTTGTGCGTTGGACACTAAATTTTTTGTAATAATATAATCATAACAACCATAGTCATGGTCATAATATTGTATATAATAAGATTTCCAGTCCAAGCTTTTTTTCAAACTAGCTTGGGCAATTTGGACTTCTTATAACTTATTTTAATATTAAAAATTAGTTTGGGCACTTGGTGTTTCGGCCAGTTTCGGCCACTAAGGTGTTATCTTACTATTATTTTATATATATGTATAAAATATGAGACAAAGTGAACATGACGACGATACCGTAAAAGTAAAGTTTCTAATACTAACACTAAATGACAAATGGTGACCTTCAATAGCGTGATCTAGTATTTACTGGAGGTTGTGACGCTTCAATTTTTTCTTGGAGACCTTCTGAAAATCCATATAAACCTACAAAAGGTATGTTCAAAAGAAACAGTCTATTATTATTATTTCATTCAATTGATAAAATATATTTATTCATTAAATCTTTTTTCTAAAAAAAAAAAAATCTGCAGTTGTTGTTTGTAATACTGTTGATAATACTGTTGATAATACTGTTGATAATACTGTTGATAATACTGTTGATAATACTGTTGATAATACTGTTGATAATCTTGTTAATGCTGATAATCTTGTTGACAATACTATTGATAAGATCGCTGGTAATGTTGTTGATAACATTATTGATAATATCGTTGATGATACTGTTGATAATAAGGTCGACAATAATGCTATTGATACTGCTGATAATAAAGTTGAGAATAATTCTGTTAAAGAAGCTGTTGATAATTTTGTTGATAATTCTGTTAATGGTGCTGTTGATAGTTCTGTTAATGAGATTGTTGATAATAAGGAATTTATTAGTCGAAAGTCAAGATCATATTCCACTAAAAAAAACAAAAAATTAAAAACTATACTTCCAAAAAGTTTTTACCCGGTAAAACGTAAACTACTACAGTATGAATGTTTCGAAATTGCTAGTAAGTTGTATGGAGGTGATGTAAAAATTGCAATTAATTTTATAAAAGATTATGACGAAAAAGGGAAAGGTTCTTCCGAAGAAAATTTTAGTTACGAAGCATCATCGTTTTTTAAAAGTGTTTTTTTCGGAGAAAAGCAAGATGTTAGGAAAGTGTTGGGGGAAGAAGGTAAAAAGATTATCATCTGAAGTTTGAGTAAATTTATAAAATTTATAACAATAGAAGCTTGTAATTTATTTTGACATGATTTTTTTACTTCCCATTTAATGAATTAGCATTATCACTCGATAGTTCTGATGATACAGTTAATTTCGGTAATATGGAAATAAATGCTAGTTCAGCCTTACATTTATGGACTAATAATATAGCAGAATTTATTGATCTGCATGATGAAAAAGAGGAATTTTCCGTAAAAGATTGGATGGTTTTAGCACTTAGTCCTTCAGGTACGTTGATATCTCTGTTAATTATTCATAAACATTTTAAACAATTCGATTTTTAATCACTTAATATTTATATGTACGTGTGTGTGTATCAAGTTGGAAAAGATGTTTGGGAAGCTTTAATACGGCGGTTAGCACAAAAACTTGTAAATAAGAATAATTATCATGGTGCAGTGATGTGTTTATTGGCCTGTGGTGAAACACATCAAGCAGTTAATATTTACGTTAATGCAAAAATGTATCGGTAAATATTTTTTTTTAAGTCATGAAAAATCAAATAATCAAGCCATAATTTTACATATTAGCAATATTGTTTGTTTTTTTAATTTAATGTTATAGAGAAGCTATTGCTTTAGCCAGATTACGACTTAGTGAAAACAATCCTATACTATTTGATCTATATTCTTTATTAGCCGAACAACTCGAAAAGGAAGAAGCTTATGAGCAAGCTGCAATGTGGTAAATATTTGTTATTTTTTTTTTTTTATGTAGTTTCAAAAGGAGTGTTCTATTATTTTTTACTTGTTATTTGATTCATTAATTATTAATCATATTGTTATTTTAATTATTTTGAATTAAGCCATCTTGCATCCAAAAAAAAAGGGTCTTTAAATCAAGCATTAGACACTTTATCACGCAGAGGAGATCCTTCAGCCTTACGTGCAGCAACAGCATTAGCATTGATGGTTCGACATGAATCTTATAATGAAAGATTGTCAAGGTATTTGTAAATTTTTGATATTTTATTAATTTGGTAATGTTATTATTTTAACAAAATGTTTATTTATTCTATTTTAGGTGGAAGAAATGTCAATAGAGTTTTGATAACCTATTTTGTTATTAATAAATATATTGTATTATTAACATCGCCAATTGTTTTCCATTCTGATAATCATAAAGTAAATTTATTTTGCTTCATGTTTATAATAACATCTTTGATAATTCGATACTTGAAACTTAAAAGATCCTTCAAGAAGTGGTTTATTTGTAATCAGATATTCTAACATTGCAAAACCTTGATTATCAATTTATCTTTTTCAAAACTATCAATTTTATTAAATAATGTAAATAGATAAAGAATGCAAATTCAATAAGATTTTCCACCTACTATTTATACATTAATCAAAACATTTTTGTGTCCTTAATTATCTTCCAAATGTAATATTAACAACAAAATATAGGACTTCAATGAGATAGAAGGATTCAACAATTGTTGAATTTTAAATCACGTTATGAATATGCAATAAAAAGTGTCTTCATCGTCAGATGAATGTGCTTTAATGAATAATAGAAAACATTTTGTCTAATAATGTCCTGTACAGGCATTGTACTTCACTTCGTATTCTATTATTTTATTATTTTTATTTTGCAAATATAAATATACAATAATAAAACTGGATTCATGCTATTCTATTTAAAAAACCAAAGGTTTAAAGATATCAAATCTTTTAATTTTTAAAGGTTTAAAATATAATTTGCATTTTATAATTACATTATATATCTATGTCTTATTCTAATTTTAGTATTATTGCTAATGATTGAATCAACTGATTATATACCATACATATTTCTTGTGTTTTCTCTTATAGTTTTCATCACAGTATCAATATCGATATTTTTAAGTTGAGATATTTTCTCTGCAACAAAAGGGATCATTCCAGAATGACACACTGTAACTTTTAAATGCGATTTTTTGTTTCTGTTTAGTTTACTAGGTACCATGTAAGGTGCATCAGTTTCAAGTAATAGTCTATTTAAAGGTGTTGAGATGACTACTTGTTGTGTATTCCTGGCTGATCCAAATGTTACAACTCCTGTGATGCCAATGAAAAGGTTTGGAAAATATCCAAGTAATTGTTCTGCAAATTTTGGAGTGTCTGTGAAACAGTGAACATGAATTTTCCATTCTTTAGGTATGTGCTCTGTCATTATGTTCCATGTATCCTCTTCTGCTTCACGAGTATGAATAACAAGCGGTTTTCCCAACTCTATGGCTTTTTTGATCTGACGAACGAATACCGTTCTCTGGATATCTTTAGGTGAATTATCGTAATGATAATCGAGCCCTATTTCTCCCAACGCCAAACTTTTTTCATTTTCAAGAACTTTGATCATCTGTTCTTCAACATAATCATTATAATCTTTTGCATTATGTGGATGAACTCCTGCTGCAAGATACATGAATGGTATTCTTGCCATGCCTCTCCAATCCATGATTGTACCTGGAAAAATTACATCGGCAACAAAACTTGCAGGATCACATAATACATTGATACAAGCTTCCAAGTTCGGAGGACAATAACGTTCCTTCAGGTCATCGTAGGTGAGAACACCTAAATGATCAGGAAGACGTTCTAAAACATAATGTAAATGTGTATGCGTATCGATAAACGGTTCCTTGGTTAGTGAAGAAAGTAATTCAACTGATGGAAGTATCGTCTGAGATTTTCTTGACATTTTTGATATTGATAAATAATGTTTACTTCTTTTTGTATCGCTGATTTTATTGTTGTTGGTGCTGTTATTGAGTAAATTGATAAATAATAATTTAGTAACAGAATTTTTTTGATGGTTCAATTTTAATATTCTTGAAATTGAATGAATAAAATTTTTTTTTTGAACAAACATCAAAAATTCGGTGTAACACAATTATTTTTATTGGTATTGGTATTTGCCGCGCAAATAAATACATTTTGAATAGAAATTATGAATTAACAAGATATTTCATTAATTATTTCTTATATATAAAATTAAATAACAAGTGTAGAATTGCAGATAATTGCGGTCCATAATGTTGTGCATTATCATAAAGGAATTGGATATCTCTAGGTACTTTTTTTTTGAAAAAGAGAAGAATGAGAGAAAAAGAAATTGTTAATTAACAATCAATGAATTAATTAATCAATCAAAGCATTCAAGAATATAAATTATAAATATAAATATAAATACATTTTTTTCTAAGAATCCCGAGAGCTAATAATTGATGAAATTTCGATTAGCCAATGCATCTGTTTCTTTTCATTGAACTTTCCAGTGTCTACGAATACTACAAATTAACAGTTCCATCATTCATGACACCATATTCTACTGATATTAAGCGATTGTTATCGTACTCTTCCAAAAATCTCATCATTTTACTTGTTTAACTAATTCTATTGTTGTAAACAGAGATCTTTACTGAAAAATATTCCAAAGCTCATAATTGATGACGAAGAGGATTAACAGAAGTATCCATTTGATAATAATTTCAAGTCATGGCGGTGATTTTAGGTTATCTTAATGTAAATAAAATTCCAAAGAATTTCGATAATAATAATAATAATAAACAGAATTGGAGATTTCTATTATTAACACTTATAAAAGATTGCTCTTTTTTTTTAATTTTTAATTTTACTCATTTGTTTTGTTATGCCTTAATTTTTTATATAATAGCCTAAATAAACGTGGAGCAAAACTTTTAGTCTTTTATATGATAGCAGAAAGGGCCATTACTAGAAGCCCCGTTACCAGGAAGCTCAGGATAGTTCCTGGGTAAACCTGAAGATAACAGTAAGAAAGAGGCCGGAAACCTTTACCTGTGGACACTACTACCCCGGCGCCTCTAGGACCTTTGCAGCGTCCAGGGGTTTGTTTATGATAACCGAGTCAAGTTAGAATATTATGGGATAAGTGTCATAAATTAACAATGAAACCAGTATTTAGCCGTATTGGGCTTTGCTCACGTAATGGTAAAGGCCTTCCTATCCTTCCCATTTTAGGGGTTACTGCTCTTGTACTTTGGGGGGTAATTATTCAACATTCTTTGCAACAACTATTTTTGAGAGCAAATACACAAGATTATGATTGTTTGTGTTATTTGTTATCAATATTAATTAGAGATCTCTATCTCATAGATACTTGGACAATTTGGAAACACGGAAACACCAAACAATTTAATATACAATTTTGATTACTGGAAGCTTATAGTTAAACCATTTCTTATTCCTTGAGCACATAAGGCTAATCTGACTTGTCCCTCCAACGATATATAATGCAATTGAACTTCAGGGGGAGGTATCGGGCTCTCAGGTTTATGATGGTATTGCATTATTGTCAAGGAGGCTGTTAAAGCCTTTCACTTGTCTGAAGTCTTCCAACATGCGGGGAGCCCCATAACTGTGGTAGGGGCGGCTCCGCAGTTATGGGTTGCGATAGCATTTAGCATGTAACTGCGTGTTGCAGAGGAAACTTAATCAAATCTGACACATGTAATCATCAATATCAGATTTGCTCATTTTATTTTTTTTTCAATGACTTTTAGGGAACAATTCTGCATGGGATCAAATTTGTGTGAGTGGGGCGAGAGTTTGGGTACGAAATTCACACAGATTTCAAATTCATGCACAAGGAACAAGCGGGGACGCACCAAGGGTTTATTTTCTAACTCTGCCAATTATGTGGCTTTTTCCAAAATTGGTTCTTAAATTTCATTTCTGCATGGTCCTGGTATTATCATTACTTGGGCGATGCAATTTATCAATTTATTTATTTGTTAACTCGTTACAAATTAAGGACAATGGTATCAAATGTATTACTAATACGGAAATTTGCAATTTTCCGTATCATGAGAAAAAATGTACCAAATTTCAAATTAACTGAAATTACTATTACATGTATTTGATCTATAGATAAGGAAATTCCATATGAATTAACAAAGTATACATATCATGAGAAAAAACGTATCAAATTAACTGAAATTACCACAACTCAGTCAATATCTGTCTGTTTTG